ATGATCTCCTTCAACCCCTCACTGTAGCCACGTAAGCATAGATCTCTATCCTGCTCTACAGATTAGGAAAACTGAGGCTCAGAAAGGTCAAAGGTAGGTGACAAGGCTGGATCTATTCTAGTCTATACTGCATAGATAAGAATGTAAAGGAGGGCTCCATATGACAAGGGGTGGTGACAGCTTGAAGAAATTAAAGCTCAGAGGTGCTGAATAGCAGAGCTGATTAGAGCCTAAGGAACCTGGCTTTGGGGGAAGTGATCATCACCTCTCGGAGCCAGTTTCCTTACCTGTGAGGTGGGGAAGATGATAACATTACCTGTTGTCCCACCTAACAAAGAGAATACCATGACCTCCAGGTTGCTGGACAGACTGGAAATTAAGCCAGGTATGCAAGGGGCCCTGCTTGAACTTTGGGCCTGACACATACTAGGTGTCTGGAGAACAGGCGTGTGTTTACCAAGAGCAGCCTGCGCCCATCCTCCTGCCACTATTAGGGCCTGTCCCATCTCCCAGGTGGTACACTGTCCCCTGAATTAGGGGCTCCTCTAGTTTCAGAGGCTTGGAGGGGGGTGTGGGGAATAGAGTGGAGCAAGTCCTGAGTGCTCCATCTAGTCTTACTAGAAACACACAGGGGTGGGGGCCAGCAGGTGGTATGGTGGTTAAGGTGCTAGACTCCACATGGCTAACTGAACAGTTCAAGTCCCAGATCTGCTTTCTTAAAAATCACACTGTGAGGGGGACCAGCAGGTGGCATGGTGGTTAAGGCACTGAACACTCCCACATGGCCGACCATGGTTTGACTCCCAGACCTGGCGGTTTGCTTTCTCACTTTCTCACTTTCTGTGTCTCTCTATAAAGAATACATTGTCGGGACCAGCAGTTAGCGTAATGGCTATGTTGCTGGACTCCCATGTAGTCGACCGTGGTTCGGGTCCCGGACCTGGTGGCTTAAAACTCACGCCGGGCGCGTGTGCGTGCATGCCCAAGATCCTGAGAGGAGAACGGAGGAAAAGGGATTGCGGCGTGGCCATCCCCCCTGGGGGGTGATTTCTCGCTTTCTGTCTCTTTGTCTCTCTGTCTTTCTGGTGAGCGCATGCGCCTTATAGTAAAAACCTCTCCAAAAAAATATACATTGTCAAAAATGATTATTATTAAAAATAAAAATTCACACTGAGAGGACCAGCAGATGGTGTAATGGTTACGTCACTGGACTCCCACATAGTTGACTGTGGTTTGAGCCCTAGACCCAGTAGCTTAAAACTCAAACTGGGCCTGTGTATGTGTGTACCCAAAATCCTGAGAGGAGAATGGAGAAGGGACTGTGGCATAGCCATCCCCTCTGGGGGCTGACTTGTTTTCTGTCTCTCTCTCTCTGGCAAGCACATGCACCTTATAACAAAAATCTCTCTTAAAAAAAAAAAATCACTGGGACCAGCAGTTAGCGTAATGGCTATGTCGCTAGACTCCCATGTAGTCGATCGCAGTTTGCGTCCCGGACCCGGTGGCTTAAAACTCACGCCGGGCGCGTGTGCGTGTGTGCGTGTGTGCCCAAGATCCTGAGAGGAGAACGGAGAAGGGAGTGTGGCGTGGCCATCTCCCCATAACGGTAAGGTCTCTGGACTCCCACATGACCAACTGCAGTTCGAGTCCCAGACCTGGAGGCTTGAAACTCACACTGGGTATGTGTGTGCATGCCCAAAATCCCAAGAGGAAAATGGAGGAAAAGGGATTGTGGTGTGGCCATCCCACTGGGGCATGATTTCTCACTTTCCCTCTCACTGACTCGTGCTCTCTCTCTCTCTCTCTCTCTAACCAGTGCACACACCCTATGGTAAAAACCTTAAAAGAAGAAAAAGAAACATCCAGGGGCAAAATCCTTTCTGAAACTGAGCTCCAGAGAGCTATGAATTGGGGCAAAGAGGTCAGACCCTGCTCACTCAAGGGGCTTGGAGGGAGATGGGAAGAGGCAAGAGGTGAGGAAGGCAACCTGGAATCCAGCTCAGTCATGTGCTACAGTGGGAAACCAGCCCTGAAGAACCAGCCCTCACCCTGCAAACCCCCAACTCCAGGAATCTCTCCATGCACGGGGAATGTAGCTGCACCTCAGAGTAGGCTCCACCTGGCTGTTTCTGACTACACTTCTGGAGTCCCACACCAGGACCACACGCCTCCTGTTACTCTGTTAGGTCATCACTTGAGAGCACTTAAAACATCAATACAGGAGATACTGCGCCAACACTAGCTCTCCGTTCTTTATGCTACTAGAGAATAAGGCTTCGCCCAATTTTACAGATGGAAAGGTGTCAGACCCATGCCCTAGGGGCAGAGCTCCAGCAAAAGCCAGCACCCTTCTCATTATCCTCCCCACTCTCAACTTCAGCACAGGCCAATTGATCTGAAGCTCTTGTCAAGCCTCTCAGTGGCCATGGAGCCAGGAGGAGGTGACTCAGCGAGGGAAGGTGAAGGCACAGGTGTGGATCTCAGCTTGCTGCCCTGAGAGGCCAGAGCCAAGGCCCAGCTCCCTTGGTGGCCTCCTCACCAGGTGCTTTGAATCTCATCCACACAACCACCCCACAAGGAAGGCAGGACCCCATTTTCCAGGCAGGACACTGAAGCTCATAATGGTTGGGTAAGGCGGCCAAAGTCACGCAGCTGCGGGTCTGTGTCCTAGGTCCGCCTGACCCCAACGCCCTTAGGTGTTTCCACTCAGCCTTAACCTCTCTCCTTTGTGAAGTGGCGCAGTATCAGGAAATCACAGGAATCGCCAAAGCCGTCTCAGGAACCAGCTCCTTCGAACGCCCTGTATCTCTGGGCCTCAGTTTCCCTGGACCATGGACGACGAAAGCGAGGGCGGCCCGTTCCCGGACGTGTCCCCTGGCTCACCGTCGGCCGGCTGCTGGAAGTTGATGTAGGCATAGCAGAGCGAGCGCCGCGTGGCCACGTCGCGGCACACGCGGATGGACAGGATAGGGCCGGCGGGCGAGAACTTCTCGTACAGCATGGCCTCGGTCACGTCCGGGTGCAGGTCGCCCACGTAGAGCGAGGCAAGAGGGAAGCCACGGCCCACGGGAGCCCAGCGGGTAGCCCGGGCCGCTGGCGTTCATGGCAGCGGCCAAACGAGGAGCGGGTCACCGAGCGGCCCCGCGCTCACCCGGGCGGGAGCTGGGACGCGGCGGGCGCGCAGGGCGGCGCGGGGGCCTCTCCCTCCCTCCGGAGACCCCGCCCGCCCCTTCCCTTTACCGTCCCCCGGGTGCTGGGCGCCAATCGTCGGCGCGCTCGGGAACCCCGCCCCGGGAGCCTCCGGGCACGCACCCCACCTGGGACCTCTTAGCTGCCTGGAAGCCGCAGGTGGAGGCAGTTCTGGCCCCACCCCGCCCCGAGAGGAGAGGACAGCCGGGTGCGACCTGGTAAGGCTGCGGGCAGGGTGGAGCGCGGGCTCCCAGAAGTGAGGGGGACTGGGCCCTTAGATTAGGTTCTAACCGAACAGGTCAGTACCTTTTCTGGACCCGTCCCCTTTCTCTGTAAGTTGAGGACTTCTTGAAGAGGATTAAGCGAGTCCGTGCCTTCTGGGCGTTTCGCTTACCCACTGGAGAATCCCGAACCAGACACCCATTTCAGGAGTGCGTAGAGAACTGTATCCCGCCTCCCGAATCAGGGCTTTTCCTCACAACAGCCTGGCCCAGTCCCACCCTTCTGCACGGAGGGCGGAATCGGCTTAGTGACTTGGATTTGCTCCCTGCGGACCTTCGAGACCACTAGGACTTCCCTGACAGCGACTGCACTGCGAGACCTTCCCCTTCCCCTCCCGGGTTGAGTAAGCCATTCCACCTGCATTCCCCCTGAGGGCCAGGGAGTTGTGATGGAGCACGCATGCTCTGGAGGGCCTAACCGCAGCAAGGCCAGCCCTTGGAGGCGGCTGCACGCTGAGCGGCAAGCCTGCTGGTTGAGACCAGCTTGTGGCCACGGCGTCGGCCTAACCATGGTATAGGCCCGTGTTTTAAAATAATAACCCACTGTGGACTGACCTCACCTCAGAGACTGTTTCCCTGCTACAAAACAGGTAGGTTCCCACCCACCGTCGGTGGGGTGTGTTTTTTTTTTTTTTTTTTAAGGGTTTGGCATAGGGGGGCGTTTTGCTATAGGGCGCGTGCGCTCGCCAGACAGATACACAGAAAGCGAGAAATCACCCCCCAGGGGGGATGGTCACGCCGCAATCCCTTCTCCTCCATTCTCCTCTCGGGATCTTGGGCACGCACGCACGCGCGCCCGACGGTGAGTTTTAAGCCACCGGGTCCGGGACACGAACCGCGGTCGACTACATGGGAGTCCAGCGACATAGCCATTACGCTAACTGCTGGTGGTGGGGTGGGGTGCTGGTGGTGTGGCTTTGACAGGTGAAACAGCTGCCAAAGGCTGCCCTCCAGAAGGACCTGGTCTAGCTGTCCAGCCTCAAAACAGCAAGGAAGCAACAACTGATTCTATTCTTGGACTTAAAATGCCCCCCCCCTTTCATTTTCTTTTCTGTGGGCGTCCAAGTGCTCCTAGAATGAGGAGAATCCCATGAGGAAACCAGGCTGCAGCTAACATAAATAGTATTAGGGCAGATGAGAGACCCACAGACCTTGGAATGACCAAGCCTTATGCAATTTCACTGCTTATATTGTACCACAGGTCAAAGAGAGGTGGGGCGGTGGGCGGGGGTGCTTGAATACAAAGCAAAGTCACTGTCCTAGCCATGTCTTAGAAGCCCCAGAAGGTGCCCCAAGACCGGACACCTGGAGTTTGTTGTGGATAGTGAAGGGGCAACAAGTAATGGGTGGGAAAGGACTGCTCAGCTAAGGGTAAGTAACTCCTTCCCCTTTACCTCCCTTTGACGAGGGCACCGAAGTATTAACGAAAGCCTAGTTTTAAGGAAAAGAGCCAAAAATAAGTGTAATCTGAATAGTTAACTAGTTCTGGCAATGACAAAGATGGCGGTGACACATCAATTCACAGACAAGTAACTGATAAAATTTTTTATTTCACTTTTGAATTTTTACACTTTTCCTGATTATTCCATGTAAGGTGAAACTAGAACTGTTTAAAAGACATACACAAATCTAGTACATCAATAACCGGGGATTTTTCTTTTTTGCTATACTATTTTCACAACCACGGTGTGCTTGCTAGGCAATATAACCATCACAGAAGCAAACGTTAGGCAGAATACTGGTAGGGAAAAACAAAGCAAGAAAGAGCTACCAGATATACAGACAGGCTTGGTTCCACATTCACTACTGCATTTTCAAGCGCCAAGTATTAACTGCACACTTTTGTTCAGCTAGAAAGAGGAGAGGGATTTTTTTTTTCTTTTTTTGGTTTGTTTTAAATCAGTGCATGATTTTTTTTTTCCTTATTTCAGCAGATGGACAAACAGATGGACTCTACAGCTACATGGAATGTCAAAGGTGGGGAGTGATTCTGTGAGACTGATAGGCCTGGCTATTCCTGATTCTCTCCGAGGCAGTGTCCAGGCAATGTCCCTGCATTACAGGTCTTACTGAAACACGTCCGACTGAGCTGGATGAGTACACTTGAGAGATCTGGAGACAGGTACACACGAGCGTTACCAGGGCTGGCTGCAATACAGGGAGAAATCAGGGATGCTTAAAATACTTTTTTGATTCAGATCTTGGTGCGAGTGAAGAGTAACCACCATACTGAGAACTGGAGGAAGACACAGCTCTGGTGGTGCTGGAAGCTCTTCTCAACTCTCTGAAGCAAGGCTTACTCAACACCATCTCTCACCCCTTTACATAGGGTATGAAAAAGTGACAAGACAGATAAAGATAGAATTCTGAAAGAAACAAATGTAAGAAAGCAGGATAGAAATTTAAAGAGAGAAAACCAGTCAACAGTCAAAATAGGACAATAGGAAAGAATGTTTAGATTTCAAATTTTAAAAGCCTCAAGCTAGGAAGCACCCAAAGACTGAGTACCCCTCAAGTGAAAGGCAATCTCTGCAGAACTTTATTCTTAAAGGTATTACCCAGGAAACGGATAAGGCCATTCCACAGACACTCGGCCTTTTTTCTCTTTAGCTCAGTGGTTACAAGGAAAACAGATTCCACTACTGAAGCACAAGGTGAAGTCGGTAACATATTGCTGTAGGAGAGGGGGGTTAAGTCACATGTGTTTTATGAGCACTGGACCTTTTCGTGGTGTCGTAACCCAGTATCTGCCACAAAGAATTTCAATTTCAGGCTTCGAGTTTCCCCAGAGAAAAGACACTGTGGGCATTGCGGTCATGAACTTTTGAGTGGCAACAGCCCAGACTGGTCAAGTGTCTGTAAGCCCTGAAGAGTAGGCAGAATTACTGTGAATTCCCATTAAATTCAAAGGCCAAATGACTGGTGTCTCATTCCAAGTCCCAGCATCACAATATAATCTCTATAACTTTCTGTACAACTTTACAATGGAACTGTATTTCACTGACTATTTTGTTATCAGATTAGACTTTCCAAAAGTTACACGTAATTCAGATCTATTTTTTTCTACCAGTAAGAGTTCTGCTAAGTTACAAAACCCCATAATCACAGTGTTCAGTTTTTAAAAAATTAACACACAGTAATCCTGTTGATGTGAATCAAAATTGTAACTTCAGAATGCCGCAGCATTTATGTGACCAATCTGAGTTTTCGCTGTTTATCCCGTGGACCATTTTTGCTAGGCTGAGGCTGTGAAAAATCGAAAGTCGACTTTTTTTTTTTTTTTTTTTTTTTTTATCGCACAAAGGGATATATGTGGAGGGTACAGAGTGACACTGAACAGATCACAAAGCGTAACAGACATTAGTTCTCGCCTTCCCCGGCGTCTCCTTCATCTCCCTGGTTTTCTGACGTCCACAGCTGTAAGAGAAAAACAACACTACAATCAAGGCAGGGTTACTAAAACTTAATCAGGAAGGTGTTCCAGTCCATATAATCTCTCTCACTCAACTGGTTTACAATTCTTCCTCTTGCAGACGGTGACTGCAAGGGTCAAAACTTTATGAATTGATCATTTATAACCAATTCAATTCTAACTATAATTAATGGGGTATAATAACCCTCCTGAATCTTGGATAATAGTGAATTACTAAGTAGGTGAATAGGAATGAGATTGTAAACCTCCAGAAGTAGTACTCACAGTGAGATTATCCCTAAGTAACTGCATGATCAGAGTGCTATCTTTGTATGACTCTTCATTCAGCGTATCCAATTCGGCAATTGCTTCGTCAAATGCCTAAAACAAAAAGCCTTTAGAAAATCACAAGTTCTCTGGAGCTAGTTTAGCCTGTTTTCCACTAATAAATGGATATAATATTTTACTTTTTAAAAAAGAGCTATTTTTATTTAACTTTATTTATTTATTTATTTAAATCTGACCAGAGAGAGACATAGAGAAAGAGGGAAAGTGAGAAAGCAAGCTGTGAGGTTCAGGACTTGAACTGCGGTTGGCCATGTCTGAGTCCAGGGCTCTCAACCACCATGCCACCTGCTGGCCCCAATTTTTAACTTTTTTTTTTAAGTTTTATTTTTATTTATTTATTTCAAGTATGGGGAAAGGAAGAAAGATGGAAAGAAGGAAAGCACAGAGAGAGAGAAGGAAGGAGAGAGGGTGGTACCCAGTGGGGACTCACCACTCCAGGAACCACCCCCAGCCTTCCACTCTACAGGATCACCGGAATGTACAGGTGTGCCTGGCATGTTCAGGTCGACCTGGGATCTGAACTCGGGCTTCTTCCATATGGCTCCAGCATTATGCAGCAGTGCCCCACACCTGCATCACTGCACTAGGCCTGTGACTCCTCCTCTTATAAGGTTCTTTGAGGGAGCCTAGGCTATTCTTACCTTGTTAGTTATTGCAGCACATATATGTGTTTATAACGTACCAACCAACAATGACAAAAATTCTTAGATAAGAACTCTGCCGTACTAAGAAAGGAGTATTACTATTAACCCTAGCCATTCATTCTAGACCAATTCACGTGTTTTAATTACCAAAGATATTTCTTGTAATCCCTTTAGAAAATTATTTCAACCTAAAATGTAAGAGATTAGAATACATGACATAAAGGGAAAACAGGAACGCTCATGTCACCACATCTGATTTAATTAAGTGATATCATTGGAGAATTTCAGAAACCTTTTCTTAAAAAAAAAAAAAATATGTGTGTGTATATATATATATATACACACACACACATACATACATACATACATACTGGGGGCTGGTAGATGGTGTGGCGGTTATGTTGCTGGACTCCTACATGGGCAACCACGGTTCGAGTCTCGGGCCCACTGGCTTGAAACGCTGGGGCATGTGTGTGTGCGCATGCCCAAGATCCCAGGAGGAGTATGGAGGAAAGGGGAATGTAGTAAGGCTATCCCCGACTCCCCAGGGGATGATTTCTCACTTTCCCTCTCACTGTCACTGTCTCTCTCCAGTGAGCACACATGATATCAGGCAAAAACCTCTATTAAAAATTTTTTTTTTTAAATAACTGCTTGCTGAAAGACTACAAAAATATGTAGAAAGACAAGAGAAGATAGGAGGTAATCCAGCACACAAAGAGACCATGGTCTGATTTGTTTCATTCACACACCATAACCTCCAATCTCCCAACAAGAGTGACACTATGTAATAACCAGGGCAACAACAAGCTACTGTCACCTGAAATCCACAAGGACCCTGAACAAAGAGTAACCAAACTAGACAAAAATCAGAAGGGGATGAGAAGGACTCAAAAAGTAACAGATCTATATTTGTTTAATAAAAATATACTCCTACCCCAAGGAAGTCTTTTACAAAGTCCAAGACTCTTTGTAATGAAGGTTATCAGAAAGCACAAGCACCACTTTACTGTGATCAGAAACCAGTGGGTCTTTCTCACCGTTTTTGCCAGGCTGCAGGCCTTTTCCGGAGAGTTTAGGATCTCATAGTAAAAGACTGAGAAATTAAGTGCCAAGCCAAGTCGAATTGGGTGTGTAGGCTGCATTTCTTTCTTACTAATTTCAAATGCCTCCTGGTAAGCCTGCTGGGAGTTCGACACAGTGGCTATAAGAAAGATGAAAAATATTAGAGGCTGGGTTCTTTCACAAGCTGCATCTTATGCTGGATCCATTCACATTATTTCACCAAACTAGGCCAGAGCAAATGACCTTTATCACATGAGGTTTCAGTGTCTCCACCATCCAATCAAACATTGGGCTAAGTGTTTATTCTAAACCAAGGACAGTATTATATTCTATGCTCTGGGAGGAAAAAAGACAATTTTGATAAAGTTTAAAAAAGCTCTTAAGAAATGCAAACTCAGGGACCAGTAGAGATAGTGTAATGGCTATGTCGCTGGACTCCCATGTAGTCGACTGTGGTCTGAGTCTGGGACTCACACCAGGCACATGTGTGCCCAAGATCCCAAAAGAATGGAGAAGGGACTGGAGCGTAGCCACACCCCCTGGGAGGTGATTTCTCATTTTCTCTGTGCGTCTTTCTGGCGAGTGCACGTGCTCTATAGCAAACACACACACACACGTACACACACATGCAAACTCAACCTTTACCAAGATTAGACTGGAAAACAAAAAATTCCTCAAGCTTTAGTAAAAAAAAATCATGAACTTCAGAGTCAACAGACCCAACCTGGATCCCTAACCCTTATTTATTAGGTATTTCATGGCTTGGAACAAGTAAAAACCTCAATGAGGGCCAGCCAATAACATGGCAGTTAAGGCAGCTGGCTTCTACAGATCAACTCCTCAGACCCATGGCTCGAAAAACATGCTGTCTGCTAGCCAGTGGTATGATGGTTAAGGCACCTGAATCCCACATGGCCAAATGTGCAGTTCGAGTCCTGGACTCTGGCTTGAGAAACATGCTAGGCATGTGTGCATGTGTGCCCAAAATGCCAAGAGGAGAGTAGAGGACAAGGGCTTGGGGCATAGTCACCCCCTTGAGGGGTGATTTCTCACTTTCCTCTCTCTCTCCCCCAACCAAAAAAAAAGAAAGAAAGAAAAAATGAAAAATACGAAAACCCTCGATGAGTCAGTGAGTTTTGGTTTCCTTAGAAAAATGGTCAGACTCCCATCAGAACACCTAAGGACAAGGAATAAGTGAGACTACAGTATCCAGCACATCATAAAGTGATCGCCACCACAGGAACACACATGGTAAAAGAAACGCATCACTATGGTGGTTTCATATCATCAAGTATTTTAAGGTTTTACCTCTTAAAAAAAGAGAGCTACTAAAAATCCTCACCACCTCTTTAAGAGCACTCCATACCAGACTGTGAATAGCCTCCACATTTGCCCCTTAGAAATACTGATTTGTTGGCCTCCATGATGCGCTCATCACAATGCTGTAGTCTTTCAGATCCTGTGTACTGTGATGTTAGTGTTTGGGGTGAACAGACAAAGAAGCCCTGGAAATACTGTAGCCGAGAGTAACTTCTCTCTTCAGAGGCATCATGACTTGAAGTTAGCTGCAGTCCCTAGCACTCCCTGGTGTCTCTCAGACAAGAAAGCTACAGTTTATGGGCCGGCAGGTGGCGCGGAGGTTAAGGCGCTGGATCCCACATGGACAACCGCAATTTCAGTCTTGGATCTGGTGGCTTGAAAATCACGCTGGGCCTGTGTGCGTGCCCAAAAATCCCAGGAGGAAAATGGAGGAGAAGGGGAATGTAGTAAGGCTATCCCCGACTCCCCAGGGGATGATTTCTCACTTTCCCTCTCACTGTCACTGTCTCTCTCCAGTGAGCACACATGATATCAGGCAAAAACCTCTATTAAAAATTTTTTTTTTTAAATAACTGCTTGCTGAAAGACTACAAAAATATGTAGAAAGACAAGAGAAGATAGGAGGTAATCCAGCACACAAAGAGACCATGGTCTGATTTGTTTCATTCACACACCATAACCTCCAATCTCCCAACAAGAGTGACACTATGTAATAACCAGGGCAACAACAAGCTACTGTCACCTGAAATCCACAAGGACCCTGAACAAAGAGTAACCAAACTAGACAAAAATCAGAAGGGGATGAGAAGGACTCAAAAAGTAACAGATCTATATTTGTTTAATAAAAATATACTCCTACCCCAAGGAAGTCTTTTACAAAGTCCAAGACTCTTTGTAATGAAGGTTATCAGAAAGCACAAGCACCACTTTACTGTGATCAGAAACCAGTGGGTCTTTCTCACCGTTTTTGCCAGGCTGCAGGCCTTTTCCGGAGAGTTTAGGATCTCATAGTAAAAGACTGAGAAATTAAGTGCCAAGCCAAGTCGAATTGGGTGTGTAGGCTGCATTTCTTTCTTACTAATTTCAAATGCCTCCTGGTAAGCCTGCTGGGAGTTCGACACAGTGGCTATAAGAAAGATGAAAAATATTAGAGGCTGGGTTCTTTCACAAGCTGCATCTTATGCTGGATCCATTCACATTATTTCACCAAACTAGGCCAGAGCAAATGACCTTTATCACATGAGGTTTCAGTGTCTCCACCATCCAATCAAACATTGGGCTAAGTGTTTATTCTAAACCAAGGACAGTATTATATTCTATGCTCTGGGAGGAAAAAAGACAATTTTGATAAAGTTTAAAAAAGCTCTTAAGAAATGCAAACTCAGGGACCAGTAGAGATAGTGTAATGGCTATGTCGCTGGACTCCCATGTAGTCGACTGTGGTCTGAGTCTGGGACTCACACCAGGCACATGTGTGCCCAAGATCCCAAAAGAATGGAGAAGGGACTGGAGCGTAGCCACACCCCCTGGGAGGTGATTTCTCATTTTCTCTGTGCGTCTTTCTGGCGAGTGCACGTGCTCTATAGCAAACACACACACACACGTACACACACATGCAAACTCAACCTTTACCAAGATTAGACTGGAAAACAAAAAATTCCTCAAGCTTTAGTAAAAAAAAATCATGAACTTCAGAGTCAACAGACCCAACCTGGATCCCTAACCCTTATTTATTAGGTATTTCATGGCTTGGAACAAGTAAAAACCTCAATGAGGGCCAGCCAATAACATGGCAGTTAAGGCAGCTGGCTTCTACAGATCAACTCCTCAGACCCATGGCTCGAAAAACATGCTGTCTGCTAGCCAGTGGTATGATGGTTAAGGCACCTGAATCCCACATGGCCAAATGTGCAGTTCGAGTCCTGGACTCTGGCTTGAGAAACATGCTAGGCATGTGTGCATGTGTGCCCAAAATGCCAAGAGGAGAGTAGAGGACAAGGGCTTGGGGCATAGTCACCCCCTTGAGGGGTGATTTCTCACTTTCCTCTCTCTCTCCCCCAACCAAAAAAAAAGAAAGAAAGAAAAAATGAAAAATACGAAAACCCTCGATGAGTCAGTGAGTTTTGGTTTCCTTAGAAAAATGGTCAGACTCCCATCAGAACACCTAAGGACAAGGAATAAGTGAGACTACAGTATCCAGCACATCATAAAGTGATCGCCACCACAGGAACACACATGGTAAAAGAAACGCATCACTATGGTGGTTTCATATCATCAAGTATTTTAAGGTTTTACCTCTTAAAAAAAGAGAGCTACTAAAAATCCTCACCACCTCTTTAAGAGCACTCCATACCAGACTGTGAATAGCCTCCACATTTGCCCCTTAGAAATACTGATTTGTTGGCCTCCATGATGCGCTCATCACAATGCTGTAGTCTTTCAGATCCTGTGTACTGTGATGTTAGTGTTTGGGGTGAACAGACAAAGCAAAGCCCACTAAAATCACAAGGAAAGAAGACTGCTTCCAGTACTGGCCAAATTTATTTTTTTAAATGTTACTTACTTTGCTTATTGTCTCCAGATGCCACCTCAGAAAGATACCTAAAGTAATCTCCCTTCATTTTCAGGTAGAACACCTTACTTTCTGGTTGTGTAGCATTGGGAATAAGGTACTTGTCCAACAGCTCCTAAAAAGGGATTCACATTGTTAAGAATTTAGAATTATTTATAAGATGTTAAAACTGCTTGAGATATAAGATTCACACTTCTACCACTTCTAAACAATTGTTTTGAAGATTAAAAAAAAAAAATTCACCCAAGCTTCTAAATGTTGTTTAGCCCAAATCATACAGCAGATGCCTATATTCTTCTGTTAAAAATCATTCTGACCACCTATAAGGGAATGAATGCTACATAGGCCTTAGCAGTGATGATGCAGAACTAAACTGCTAACAAGGAAAGGGTCTCAAAAGACATGTGAATGAAAAAAAGCTAATTCCGAATACTGTAAGAATCTTATTTTAATAGTAAAATAATGTGTACATGCACATAAGGGAAAAAGTCTGAAAGGGTTATGTTAATAGTCTTCTGGGTAATAGGATTGGGAGAAACATTTTATTTTTTTATGTATACTCTTCTTCCCTGTCCTTTAAAAAAAATAAAACATCAACTTGCATTACCTCTGTAATCAGGAAAAAAAAAAAAAATTTCCATTCTGGGCGGGGGAGGCGGTAATAGAGCAAAACTGCCAAGAACGAAGTTTCGAATTACCTGAACGGAGTGGAAATCGCTCTTCTGACACCTATGATCCCTACCTGTATGACCCTAGACAAATGACCTAGCCACCCTGTGCACAGGCTTCCTCTGTTCTACAGTGGGGGACCATCATAGCCACCCTCTAGGGTCGTTTGAGGATAACTGAGCTAATGTACATAAAGCGCTTAACATGTTGCCTAGCATGTAGTAAGCACTCAAAAGAGTAGCTATTATCATTATCAATAATAAATTCCTTTAAACATGTATGCTTACAACAAAAGTGGTTCTGAAGGAGTCCAAGCTTCGTATACAGAGCAATATTTTCGAAGAGTTGTTTTAGAATGTGGCATCCTGAAAAACTGGTTAAGAGGCAGTAAGTACCATGCTCTTCTTCACATTCTTTCAGAGGCTCTTAAAAGCTGGTCTACATTTCAGGAATTATGGAACTTTCTTGCCCTTGGAATGCATTGCCATACTTCATCTGAATACCAGATGTACCTAACATTCAGGAATTAGTGCACCATTAACAAACCCCAAATTACCAACAGGCAACAAATTTAGCCATGACACTCTCACACGAGGAGTCTAACAAAAAGGGACGCTCAATGGAAAGCTTAGTTATAAGGGGATTTAATCAGTCATGGTGAGAAGATGCAAGGGGTGGCAGTGGTTTTAATATTCTCTGCAGACAGACAGGGTGTAACTGTTTGTGGGTTAGGGATGCGGAGTACTGCCTGATGCTGACAGCTGTGCACTGCTTTTCAAAAGAAAGGTGTCATGGGCAGGAACTGGGACAGGCAGCCAGCAGGGGAGGGGGAGGGTCCACAAGTGTGAATTCCTCTTCCCTTCAAAGCAGCCCTCACAGTTCAATTTTTACCTGATTTCACCTGGAAGAAAAGAAAAGTTCCCAGTGGGCTCAGGATGTGAGGGAAGGACAATATGGTCACAATTTTCTCTAGGATCTGAACCCTTCCCATCCAACCCCAAACTGGCCAGAGGAGATCAATAACCTGACTAAAGCTTATGTAAGACACATGAGAGGAGAACCCCCAAACCGCTTCGATTTGGCTTTGCAGTGCACACCGAACCTGACGGACGTGCCTGAATTTCCTCAACACTGCGATGCCTGACTCAGCTCTGAGAGGCTGAAAGGCAGCTTAGTGTTTTAAGCTGGACTCCCTGACTGAAGATGACATCACTATTGAGACTGACATATAGAGAACCTTTCTATGGCTAGAATCTGTCTAAAAGCCTAGCTGGCCTCAATTCTAAAGAAAAGATGAAGAGATGTTGAATAAATGTTCCTGTTGTTCACAGATCTTTCTGATAGGAGAGGAAAATACCGCTGAAGCCATGAACGTCTGATCAAGCAAAACGTGAGAAAAAATACATTGTGTGCTTAAAAATTAGTTGCAAATGGTTTGCAGCTTTCCAGTATATCCAGACTCCTCACACTGAGCTGTTTGAGTTTACATTTATACTTGATACTACTTGTTAAAACAGCAAGGCTGGCCTCTTACCAGAACGTCATTGCAGATGTCCTGCAGCTCCGCCTCGATCTTCTCACGGTACTCTTTGCCCATCTGCTGCTTCTTCTCATTCCTTTCTGTTTTCTGTTCGATGCTGGAGATGACACGCCAGGAAGAACGGCGCGCACCTACCACGTTCTTGTAGGCGACAGAGAGCAGATTCCTCTCTTCGTTGGAGAGTTCATGCCCCTGTTCTGTGACCGCCTTCATGGCTGCAGCCATGTCATCATAGCGCTCGGCCTGCTCAGCGAGTTTGGCTTTCTGTACCAGCTCACTTTTATCCATGGTCATTCCCTAGAAAAAGACCAAGAGGAAAAGAGCAAATGTCAGGCTTTAGAGCCCAGGAAGCATGTTCCAAACCATCTGGAAAGACGCATATCAAGTGTGAAACAACTTAGACATGTCACCAACAGTGCTGGTCTGTATTTGAGCACCTACAGGGTTAGGTACTTCAGTCTTTTTCCGTTTGCCTAGATTAACTTTCCCAACAGTCCCACAGGGTAGGTATATTCATGACAACTCTCCCTATCTCTATCAGAGATGAAGGATGGAAGTTCAGAGAAGGCAAGCGGTGTGCCCAGAACAACATAGTAAGCAGAAGGTAGAGAGCTAGACCCCAAACTCAAGTCTCTTTGGCTCAAGAGACTTCCACTATCCTAATCTTCCTAATCTACCTCCCCAGCACTTAAGAGATTGCTTAGTGACTATTCCTTCAGAAATTTATGCTAAATATATGGCCTTTACTTCTTTTAATAATTGTTTGATTTGTTAAAGTTTCTTTCTTTCAAGAGATAGAATCACAGAAAGGATGATGAGCACCCCCAACAAGGTCTCACACTGTGACCCCAGTCCTGAGTCTTCCCAGTCAGTCCCAACCGTGGGCATGTGTGTGCCGATACACAGTTCAACTAGAGAACCACACCATGGTCTTCCACATGACCTCTGGCATGTGTGCATGTGTGTCCAAGATCCCAAGAGGAGAATAGAGAAGGGATTGCTGTGTGACCATTCCCCCTGGGGGGTGATTTCTTGCTTTCTGTCTCTCTGGCAAGTGCACCCTATAGCAAAAAATAAAATTAAAAAAAAAAAAAAAAAAAAAACCACCTCTCCCGCCTCCAAAAAAAATCTTAGTCCAACTCCTTCCTGTAAACATAGGAAGCCCCGTCTTCATTGTCCTATATTACCTTGTTTTGTCCACATCTGTTTTTTTCCCTA